AAAAGAACTTAAATATTATAGAACTAGATATATTAATATGAATTAAGAAACACACGTTTTGACCCGAATGAAAGCTTAAATCTCCAACAAGACCTACAGGAAACAAAGTAAATCACATACATACTTATAACCCATTCGAACCCACCTCACAACTGTCATCAAACGCCTTACTATGGTCAGAAAACCATTACATACGACCATACAGCTTTTCCTCTAACTATATACAATAATTGTAATGGTTGGAACACAATAGCAAACCTTGGAGTAATGAATTATCTTATTGTTAGCTACCACCAGCCTTTTAGGTCAAGATACGTTTATAGGCTGTGGAACAGGTTGAATTATTTGTGATTATGAAGATGATTTTGTCACTTTTAGGGATCAGATGGAAACTAGTGGTAGGTTTTTTTATGGCACAATCCGGTAAACGAGCAGACGGATCATCTGATGGTAAGCAATCGGCGTCGCCCATGGACACCTGGAACACCAGAGGTGTTACAAGTGCGTTACCGGCATTTTGGGGATTAGGAGTTTGAGGATCGTTGGGGATTCAGGAATTGGGGTGATTGGGGAAGAGGAGGATAATTGGGCCTCCGGTAATCTGGTAACCTCACTCACACGACGAAACACAACGCAAGCGTTGCTTCACGTCGGTTTTCTGTGAGGCTGTGGTATCACTCCGGTCGAGCCGGCCCATTCGTGCCGAAGCATGGCTCTCCCACACTTCTAGTCTTTGACAAATTTTGTATTGGTTACCATTGTTTTCAGAATTACTGTTACACTGTACTGTGCTCTGTTGTAAAGAACCATTCCTTAAAACTAAGTATAATTATTTTTCCTTTATCCATCTCAGGACTGTTGAAGATAAAAAAAATGATAGTGGTAACTAGTTTTAGGTTCTAATCACTGTCATTGTTGTCTTATTAACCACAATTTTAAATGGGAGCAAATAATTGGCAGATTGCAATTACTGAAGTGCGTGTTATGGACAAACATTGCTAGTCTTAATTTATTATTATTATTGTTTGTACGTGTTGATGATTGTCATTGGTAATAATGATCCAGTCAACTTAGTCATGTGAGTGCAATATTATATGTATAGTTACATATCCAGTTTGGACCACAACAATCACTCAACATTCTATAGTACAAATAATTCTACGAATTATATACATTTCTATGGTTGTATGTTTATTTGTTACTCCTTCAGGTCATAGCTGAAGAAGTTGGGATGAAATTTGATTCAGGGGTAGATTATGGTCTAGAATAACACATAGGCTACTTTTCATCCCATTGGAACGCGGACGAAACCGCTAGCAGAAGCTAGCTATAGTGTAGTCACTAAAAATTGTATACTACGGGTGTCATTTAATTTGAATAAGGTTACAAATTAAACAGACTGGGCAGAAGCGTTCATGCTTAGCAGCCTAGTGTAGAGATTAATGAGATTATAACAAAAACTTCCTGTTCTTAGCCCAGGTTATCATAAACCCTCTTATGTATGAGAGGTCAATAGACCTATGGCAGTCCACTGATAAGCTATTGCTTATTTTGTTAATGATGTCGAATTAGCCTATTTGTTTATCAACAAACGCCAGCTTAGAAATAGTCCATGACATAACCGGACTATTACTAAATCTCGTACTCCGGATCTCCGCCGTATTTCCACAGATTCGGATGACATTTCAATCGATTTCGGAACAAATAAAACTGGCCATGGTTGACACTATACCGTCATTGTTCTCCTACAATACAACGGATATTACTCGACGAAATCATTGAGTGTCAATCGTTATAAAATTTATAGAATTGTTAGTTTTTTGGGATAATATTATAAATTCTAATATCTTTTCACCTATTAACTACTTAGAATCAGTTTTTAAAAAAAAAGGTGCCCCGCACCAGGATTTCCTCCTAAGTTAACATACAAGTTCATATACACATGACACCCAGACCCGGAACAACAATTTGTGGATCACACAAAGAGTTGCTCCATGCGAGAATCGAACCCACGATACGTTGTGCGGCAGCCGGTTGTCTAGCCACCGTACTAACCGTGTAGTCAATATACCTGTTTTCTTTTTTACCTGACAGATGTAATCTTTCTTTTGTCTATCCCTCCAATACGTACTAGAATCCTTTCAGCACTCGTTTTGTTAAACAAAATTTTTCACAACATATCCCTACCAAGATTACGCATAAGTGCGTACTGTGTAGAATGTTCATATATTTAATGTTGTTAATTAAAAACTATTGTTTCCTATAAAATACATAACTTAATTATATATTTTATATGTTTAAATGTTATACTGTTTAAAATGAATATAAAACGTACGCATTTTTGCCATCATCTTAATTACCTATGTCCAATTTTGCAATTTTTGGCAAACAGATTTATTCAGGAACAAAGAACGCTCTTAATGACATCTTAAAAAATATCCAATTAACATGCAGTACACATCCTTAATAAAGTATACCAATTGACCCGGAAAACAATATAATATAGTTCAATATTGCTTTCCGCATCAATTACGCTAAAAATATATACCATCGTCACGATTGAAAAGATTCTAAAATCGAAGAAACAAAGGACTACAGCTCACAACTCTAAAATATAATCATATTTTTAAAGGGGGCATTGATCAGAGTAAAATAATGGACTTCACTATTGACTATATACTATATCAATTAACCTATAAAGTGTAAAAAAAACTTACATCAAAGTGAGACTAAAAGTACATATACGGAATGTCTATAAGTCGGTCCCTTAGTAAAGACATTAGACTTCCACAATAACTATATTGTCTTTTAGCAGGAGACCTAGATACACACAATACGGCGGAATCCAGTTCGCGTTCAAACAACGGCCCTATTAAGGTCATTAGAAAAAAAAAACAAAAAGACAATCAACATTTTTGACTGGAATTTTGATGAAGTACGACTGGATTTTAGATGTGTCTATTGTAATGAAGTGTAAAGCTCAAAGCAGGGTACTATTGCTACGTTTTTATTTCTAAAAACTTAAGTCCAAGGGTAGATACAGTTTTCGATCCCTATGCTGCTTAACTCGTCGAGTACCGGTTTTGTAGACACAATTATAGAACAATAGGTTGCGGTCACCGGTGACCGCTTGGTGTTTGACAGTTTAATACAAAATAATAGGTTAAACAAAATCCTCAGCAGTAACATAATGAAAACCTATTAAAACGGCTAAAACTTAATGGATTGATTGAGATGATCCTTGTTTCAATTCAGACAATACAAAATTATAAAATATTTTTCTTTCAAATACTTTTACAAAAGGATGTGCCTGCAAAATACGACAGAACATATGAATAAATCTACTTATCAAAACATGACGTCTGTACCTCTAATCGTTCAAGCAAAAATTACAGACAAGATACATAAAGAAAAACTAATTTAAAAATCAGCTTATCACCACACACCTTTTAGTCATTAGCACCACCATATAACACGATGTCGTCAATAATAAGGCTATTAATAAAAAAAGAAGTATATCAAACAATAAACATATGAAACTGGTCACGACCTACATGTTACATTTATTCAACAGTTCCCACGAACAGGTGTTATAAGAAATAAATTAATTAGATCTTAATCGTGGAACATTGTTATTGAAGGAACAAGACTGCTAGATAAGGTGGATATTGGAAGTTAGATTGATGGAAGTGATACAGAATGTGATGCTGATTTGAATGATGTTAGTGTTATTGTGCAAGATATGAATGAGAATGTACCTGTGATAGATGTTGAATGAATTTAAGGTGATGTAATTTGATGTGATACTGGCGTTGAGCTGATAGTATACGAACAAATAGATGTGTATTGAATTGACATATTAATCACGCTTGACAATTTCAGAGAATTTTAAAACCCCACAATTTTTTCTGTGACACCTGTAAAATCTATGGTTCTATTAACCTGAATTTCATGAAAGATTTTTCTGTATATATAAATTTCCTAACATTAATCTAAATTGAATTAAAATGATAAAGTACGACATTTCTAATTCAGAAACATCACTTTACCACAAGATAGTATTGGTTGAACAAACGTCCCAAGAATCACGACGAAAGCTCCATACAATCACATCACACAATTGACAACATACAATATCGTAATCAATCATGACATCGAGAAACCTGGGCATAACACGGAGCAAAACAGAGACCACGTAATAACAGCAGACACTACAAACAATACGGCACTCTATACAAAAACTATGAAGACAAGACACCATAGAAATGTACCGCAGATCTCTCATACATTGTTCACCTATGGGAACCGCTACCCGGAAACTTTCCACCAGATAAACGCCTATGGGAATGTGTGAAATAAGAAATTCCACTTCTTTAATTGGAATTTTTTGAGCATTTTATTTCAATTTAATGTCGAGGTCATCGGGTCATGGAAAATTCACCGTTGTGCACTGCATTCTGTGCTAATAATAATCAGAATTTTTTAAACTCGAAATACATACTGTTCTATTTTCAAAATTGACAAAGTTATCTCCCATTTCAGAAGAGAACGAGGTACTTTGAAAAAAAATAAAGGATAATTATAATTAAATCGCTACACTCCGTAAAGACGATGATTAAGAATAAAACTACAAGTTCCCAAGGCATTATAAAATACTGCATGTCATTTTAAACAGAGGTACGTACTACATACATTGTTTATTTGATAACAATCTCAAATAGTAGAGTCATTTGCCGGTAATCATTGTAGACGGACCACAATTTGAGTATTATTATATACTTATGTGCATGTGGTATAAATTAAGAATACAAATCAGTAAGTGATGAGAAAATCGTCACAGAAAAGTGGCCATTATTATTTGATGCACATAGCATTTTTTACAAGAGATTTCTAAGCTTGAATTTTAATGATCGAATTAGATCATTTAAAAATCTTAACTACCCATAATGGTAAAAGAATCTGAAGGTTTATGGTAAAGAAAAAGAAATAAAAAGACTTACCGCAGCATGTTGTGTAGCATCGTTGACATCAGTCTCGAAGTTCCACTGAGCTGCAACATTGTTCGTGCACTCCTTCGAAGCCTGATCATCAGCCTGTGCCAAGAAATCTCTAACCTGTTGCAGATTTACATGCTGCAGCCTTTCATCTATATTATTGCTATCAACACCCCTGTTAAAATCATAAGGATTAGCTCCAACATAATTAGGATCATTACGAACAAAGTTAGGATCATTCTTCCTGAAGTTAGGATCATTATTTATGTCTATCGAGTCATCTCGATTCCTGTCATCGTACGGTCTTGAAGTCGAACTGGGGTTTCGCCCATTTCCATAATCAAGACTGGGGTACCCATTATTACTGATATCAGGGTTTATACTATATGGGGTGGAAGATACTGGGTAAATTCCTCCTGCTTGAGTAGATGATACAGGTCTTGCAGAACTGTACTGGAAGTTTCTGTTCACATCGTACTGGTTTCCAGGCGAGTTTATTGACGCAGGAGTGCTAGAGAAGCCGTATCCATAGTTGCGCTGCGTGCTTGAAATCGGCGGCAAATCCAACTGCGGTTCAGCCGAGGAGTACGATAAAAGCACCAGAATAACTTGGAACCACATTATGGGGTTTGTGTTTGAAAGATAGTTCATGTTAAGGTGGTCTGTTTGACCTAGTTGCGCGAGGTGAGCAGCCAATGGTGCGTGGTGCTTGTTTGGTATCGCGTTTACGACTGTCCGCCTGCTGCTGGCTTCTGAACTCGGGCCGTGTGAATCGCTTTGTCAGGCTACACTTCTGCGTACCTAATATACACTAGAGGTCATAATGCGTCACGTCTTACGTTTTTATTATCGATGTACGGGGTTACATTGGATTGTGTAAGCCTTTGTTAAGGAATGATCTTGATCTGAGATGAAAATTTTGACAGTATTTGTTCGTTTGTAATAATTATCAGAAGGAAGACCTACCTACCTAAACTTATACTAATGGGTAACGACCTAAGTCGAGACTACACTTACTCTTTAACATTCGCAACCAAGATCAAGGCTTTTTACAATTAAACATGTAAGTGATTAGTTTATTTATTGACAGCTTAATAATTTAAAGGAAATGCTGTTTAAAAGATATTTTCCTTGCTGTACGTGGAAACTATTATCCCACGAAAACTATGTATAACATTGTTTTAATTTCATTCATTCACTTCATTTCATTCATCATTATTGTGATCGAATCTTTCAAAGTTGCATATTAGTCACTTGAACATACGCACTTGTGCCGTACTTAAAAGATCTAAAGAGAAAATGACAAACCACCTTTTATCCTAAACCGAAAATAGAAACCAAGATATTGTATTCATCTCAACTAGACAGACAGTTTCGTACATTATTTGTATCATTAATTATTAGAAAGTAAAAATTGTATACGCAAATGGTAAATTAATATGACCAAATTTCGGAGTAAAAGTGACTAAAGCAAAGTAATCAAAGATAACTATGGTTGTACACAGCGAGGCTCAAAAATGACGTAGGTGTAGCTGGCACTAAATTATTAGGATACCAGGTCTGATCAATTTAGAGGACTCAATGCTCCTTATAGATGCTAAAGAGAGACAGTGGACACAGGAAATATTTATGGTAGGCAAGAATTGCACCCTTCCAATTTTCTCCTAATAGCCTGACTGTACGGTTGGCGCCGTGGCTGGGCACCTGGCTGCCGCGCAACGTGTCGCAGGTTCGATTCCCGCACGGAACAACTCTTTGTGTGATCCACAGATTGTTGTTCCGGGTCTGGGTGTCATGTGTATGTATGTACCCGTCATAGGAGAAAATCGTAGTGTGGGGCAACGTTATTTTAAAAGAAAAAAAAATTGATCTAAACGCCCTCAGTCGTAACTATAGCAAACTGATTACGCGTATAAAACAATCTTTTAATATTATGTACAATTTTATTCATGGTATTAATTAATTATTTCACTGCGTTAATAAACTTTTAATACATCAAGGATGTTAATTCGTAATGAAATTATTAATGTTGCGCCTTTAGAAGCATCTAATTTGGATCTAATCAATGGAATGCCTATTAAAACGTCTTAAAACATAATTATTAATATCTGTAATTACCTCGTTGACCGAGTGGTCGCAAGTGCGACTGCCGCGCAAAGTATTATGTTTTTTTTTTTCAGAAGTAGCACAGGGTCTGGAAATGTCCCCGGTATAAGGCAATAGGCTCACCTCTATTACATGGGACTCATATCATAAATAGTGTAAAGTGGGTGTTACACTGTAAAGTGGCATTAAGTGCTGTAATGTGCACCGCTGCCCACCCCTTCGGGCATAGAAGGCGTGATAATGTTATGTTATTAATACATATCTACAGCCCTTGACAGTCAACTGCTGGATCATATTATGTATTCATAAGATGGTATGCAATAATCTCCTGACAATTGGCAGGCGAGTAAGAGGTCCTTTAAAATAGAGGTCCTTTTAAAAAATACATTTATATTCTTAGTTATTTATATTTTTTGTATCTATGACAAATAATCCTATACACATCACCCAGAATAGCATTCACTATCACTATCACCCACTCCTTCAGCCACTATTTTGAAATATAAAGGTGTGTCCACAATTGCCCAAAGGACGTAAAATCCCAGTCGTAATGAATTCTTACATAACACTGCGATGCGACACTTATTTATGGCGTAAACGAAAGTACTTGTAGCGTGTACTCCATCTAACAACGTTTAACAATTAACGATTACGAAGAGAGCTTTAAAATTTGAATATTTTGACGTTTTAGGAATTTTTGTGACCTACATTTTTAGGAGTTTTAACACCACACCCATGTAGTGTACCTAGTTGGGTGATTAGGAATTGAGAGCGCTACTGTTTGTTAACAGTGTCTAGTTTCGTTTTGTTAATGGTATATTATTGTTAGCTTTATTCATTTCAAGAATCTTTTTTTAATACTCCAAAGGTTGATTTATCTTTCGATGAAAGACAACCAGAACTTACAGTGCAATTTGCACTTCTATTTGGTTGGTATTCTTACGAAACTTACAACACTGTTTCAAATGTTATAAGTTATATCCTTTTTATTCCACAAGGGATTATAGTACCTAAGGTTCTGAGTATAAAAACTAATATTACTGAATCTAGTTTTGTTTGTTTTTTTTTATTTTTTTTTATTTTTTTTTAAAAAAACGTAGCCCCACACTAGGATTTTTCTCCTGTTCACATACACATGACACCCAGACCCGGCACAACAATTTGTGGATCACACAAAGTGTTGTTCCGTGCGGGAATCGAACCCGCGACACGTTGCACGGCAGCTGGTTGCCCAGCCCCCGCACCAACCGTGCGTTTTTATTCTACTATAAAAATTAATTTATCCTTCGAAGCCTTTTTTACATAAAAAATATCATAGCAAACATAACAAGTCCCTTTGCAATTAGATCATAGTCACTTAACATTCATACCAGGGTCCCATTACGAGCTAGGAGTGACAAAGAAAGCAGGTGACAGTGAAAGTAAAGATAACGTAACTGAGGAAGTTGTGACCTACTCCATACTTATTATCTCCTGGTACTTTGTAGTTTTATGGCACTTAGAGCTTACCGGTAAAATGTAACTTATGGTTTATGATTGAACTATTGTTTTTGTACAAATGATGAGGCCCTGTTTAATCCCCCCCCCATCCTATTCACGCATTCACCCGATATTACACAAATTAAATATCGACAAAACAGTAACAATTTCTCGGTTTATTTTATTTCCAGAACGTTTATTCAATAAACTGATAACTTTTTGACGCATAGAGTGTGCTTCTTTGGAAGATCTAATTCTCCCCCCACTTCAAGGCCATTATGAATATTCCTTTTATTTTTATCCTCATTCAGCTGAATAATAACATGCAAAAATCAAGGCCACAGGTGAAATGTGACAAATACCTATGATTCTGCCCACCCACTCTTCATTAGAAGATTGTCGCGTAAGTTTCAGTTACACAATAGTACATAGTGCACGCACATGCGTAATATCCTCGACAAGATGGCATCGTCTTCTACACAAATCAAATAGGGAGTTCTAAACGTGTGTAGAAGAAAATTATAAATAATTGTATAGAGCTGTTCGAACGAGCCCTGATATAATTTAAGATTTCATATTTTATAGACGGATATATTGCTAAGTTGAGGTGATAATTGGATTCCACTCCACTAGGGTAAAACTTACCAGCAGGCGAGACAGTGGTGAGTTACATTAAAAAAGAAAAAGGGTCGTAAATAGAGGTATATATAAAATCAGCCGTAAAAAGTACTACATCTGCGTCTCCTGGCCTCACTTTAAATCAATATTTGACAAAACAAGGTAATTAAGAAAAAAAATAACTTAGTGGCAGTAATGTTCACTTTAAGGGTAGGTATCTAAAATGCTGTTATAATAATAAACTGAAGAATTAAAAACGTAATAGTAACAAAGTAGGTAACTTATGAAAACTTCTATTTCAATCTAATCCACAATTTTAATTTAAATCCAATCACGAATAAAAATCGGTAACAACCACTCTATCAAACTACAACGACGACGACGCAATTTTCCTATTGTGCTAGTTTTACCGTGGGAATTATTATGTACCTATACAAAACATGTAGATTCGACACATACATACGTACGTACTTATTCTTATACGTACGGGCGTCCATACTAAGTGACACATTATAACTTGGAGAATATGGTGAAGCAAGGACAATTTTTATCATAAAATTGTTAAGAAACGTGCCCTTGGAGTTGGTACACTTTATTTATAATACCTATATAGAAGTACACGTCTTTATTTTTATGTGTATAAGGTTTATTGTGTAATTTGTGAAATAGTTACCGCTTTGAAGTACAAAAGTAGCTATCCTTAAAGTTATACAAGAGGAGTTCGGAATAATCAAATTAGATTTATGCGTTCGTATATATTTTTAGTACTTAGTATCTACATAATCTACAAGAATATATCTTGTATGAATGGTTTTTTTTTATGGGGGAAAATCAACGAATGACTGCTCTCGTCTGGGTGAGGTGGGAGGGAGTGTCAGACTCTCACTGACTAAAAACCACCCCGTTCTTTCTCCTGCGCTTCGAGCCGGAGCCCCGGTAACCCGTTAGGTTCCCCAGGACTCCGAATCGGAATCAGCCCTGTTGGACCTCATCCGTGGTGGTCTGAAGGCTCTTTGAGGCGCGCGCGGAACGCGACGCGCCATATGCTCGGTATATGAATGGTTAGAAGTTCATTATTGGGTATTCGCCAACTAGTCAAATTCGATACTTTTTTTTTCAAATTGTCAAACACGACAATTTTCTATGAATTTGTGTATTGTAATATTAGATTGTGTATTGTGACGTCACGTTTTTTAGTGTCAAACATTATACTTATTTCTCAAAAATTTGCTGGAAAAATACTAATATTAAAATGGTCATAAAATCAATTAATAAATGTGTGATTATTATTTAATATTTTATTGTAATGAACAGTCGAAATAATTTATTTTTGATTAAGGAAAGACCCAATTGATTAACATTAGTGTATTAAGCATTTTGTCAGCAGCGAAGTTCAATGCTGATGGTTTATTATATGCGTTACTCAAAGTCTTTTAAATCGGCCGATT